CTCCCTCCAGGCGCTGGCTGGAGCGCATGCGGCGGACCTTCGAGGAGCCCACGTCGTCGCTGGCCGCGCAGATCCTGGCCAGCGTATCGGTGGTGTTCGTGATAGTGTCCATGGTTGTGCTGTGCGCCAGCACGTTGCCCGACTGGCGCAACGCAGCAGCCGACAACCGCAGCCTGGATGACCGGAGCAGGTACTCCGCCGGCCCTGGGAGGGAGCCCTCCGGGTAGGACGCACTGCTTCTCTGCCCGTCCCGTCCGTCCTGTCGCGTCTGTCCGTGCCGTCCGTCAGTCCCGTCTCCGTTCTGTCCGCCTCCGGGCGACCGAGCCAGCGGGGTGCGCGACCCAGCGAGGCCCCAGGCGCGGCCAACTACGGGACGGGTCGGTCCCCACTCCCACCGCGTTGTCCGGGGCACCAGCGGGTTCTGGCCCTTGCACTAGACGCACCTCTTGAGGGCGAAATCCCCAGGCATGGGGAGGGGCGTGTGGAGATAGACAAACGTCCCCTCTTTGTAGTTTACTTTTGAGCAGAGAGCAACCTGCTAATGAGATTTTTCTGAACTTTTATTGTTAGGGTTCAACAATTAAGCCTTGAACTAAGCGCAGTTTTAATTATTTGCCAATTTTTGGTAGTGTTTGGAAAGATGAATTCTTGTTATGGTGAAATGTGCACTCTCCACACATTCTATACACTCTGCCCCCGGCGTAGTATGTGCTGTAATGGAATTGTTATATTATAGAGGAGGTTAATTTACCGATAGACCCTCAATAATGAATGTCTGTGCCCTTTTCTCCCCCGCTTTCCTACAAAGTATGGAAGCTCTTGTCCACCGTTTGGTATCAAAGATTCACACTGCGACTTTCAGAGGGTCTGTAGTATGCGAAGGGAAAAAACCATTACCTTGAGAGCAGAGAAAACTCTAAACTGTCCTAAATCCAGAAAACAGTATTTGGGTGATTTTTCTTTTTTTTCACTTTACTAGGATGAATGGGAAAATATTGCAGTCTTTTCTTAGACTGTCTTACCTTTCAATGGTGATAGCACTCTCCTGTTTTTAGTACAAGTGAGCATATTCGGTGGGAGGAATAAGCAGACTAAGGGTGGACTTTCAAAGAAGACAGCCTTTTGGGGCACAAAACCCAAACTGCATATTATAGTTTATCTGTTTGACACTGTCTTAAGATCCTCCTTCCATACTCTTTAAATTTAAGGTTGTGCTCTGTCATCTTTTCCTGATGGGCAGGTACATGTTCGGAATGGCGGTCTTGCTATTGCAGTGAATTACTTCTACATGATATTTTTCCCGTAGGGAGTAAGGATTTTTATACAAATCTAAGAAGTAAATAAAATTGTCTAGTACCACGGAGTCTATTATTTCTTCTTGACTTGAAATCCAAGATACATGCTTTGAAAGGAAATTCATTAGGAAACTCATTTTGTTTAGTGAATTAGGTTCTAACAGTTTTGAATTTACAGATAAGAATTACTTATTTGGTACTCCAACAATACAATGAAATTAATTTATTTACCTAAATAAATGCCCCCCCCTTTTTTTTTTAAGGAGGGCGTTGGGAAAATGGACTTGAAATTTTTATTCTCTAGTAACTGTAGAATTCTAAGGTTAGTGAAGGTTTGAGCTACATTAGCAAAGGAAACAGGAGAATTGAATTATTATTAGTACAGATAAAGAGGGAGTTGACTGAGCTACTATATGAGCAAAACCAGTAAAATACCTCAAGTATAATCTTAGGGGGAGGGAAGGTGTTTTAGGAGAGGGAAAGGGCCATATGGAGATCATTAATGTAAAGCATTTGTAAAGAAATGAGAGAAATGGATAGTAATTTTAGGGAGAGAAACACAAGAAACAAAAAAGGAAAGACACAGAGATGGAAAAGAGGGAGACTGCAAAATAAGTGAAGGGAGAAAGGAAAAGTAATGCTTATTTGTGTATATGTATTTTATGTATGTGTATAATTATTCAAGTCAGAGCTGTTTCCTAGATACTTAGATATTTCAAGCAAAAGCATGTTTTTCTTGGCTTAATGGCCCAGTTTTAGCTTCTCTGAGTGTAGGTATATGAAAACCAATATCTGCAATCCCAAACAGATAAACTGCAGAATGGCTGAATGAGGATGCTGCTTATTACAGAGGAAGCTCCCTCTGCCCTCCAACAGAGAGGGCCCTTAAGCTGTCACTTTACGTATAGTCGCTAAAACCCTGCTTGCTTGTGGTTGCTGAGATTAGTTTTTCCAAAGCATCATTCTCATTATTTGACTATATTTCGCATATGCCAAATAAAGCCAAAACTTCTTTCTTGGCCTTCAAAGCTCTTTACAGTTTGATGACAACCTGCCGTTCTTGACTTACTCCATCATAGTTTGCAAACATCTTTTGAGTATCTGCTATGTTCAAGGTACTGCTGGTGTTCCAAATATTGTAACTTTCTGTTGTAAAGAAAAGCTGGTGTCAAGTTGGTGATGTAGGAATCAGAGGCACAATTGATTTCTGAGAGTTCAGTTGTTTGGAGAAGGCCTTCAAGGTGATGGAGGATGGAAACAAACCATGATTGGAAGGTTGCAGAGGTTGTGCACTGCCCAAACTAGCAGGGAGTGTCATTTATTTTATTTTATTTTATTTTTTTGCATTTTTAGTAGAGATGGGCTTTCTCCATGTTGGTCAGGCTGGTCTCGAACTCCTGACCTCAGGTGATCCGCCCGGGTCGGCCTTCGAAAGTGCTGGGATTACAGGTGTGAGCCACCACACCCGGCCAGGGAGTGTCATTTATATAAATTCTAGTTAATGCAACCTGCACAACCATGTGCGCCCTGCCTTGGAACAAAATAAAGAGATTTTTTAGGATAAAAGGAACATCATGGGCATGAAACTTGTATATGATGTTTGTGGAAGCTTGAGTCCAGTGATGGTGTGAGAGGTGGATAGAGAGCAGATGATAGAAGGCCTGGAATTCCAGGGAGAATAATTTTTTTTACTGGCAGTGGCTAGCCCTTGGCCAGTTTTGTGTTTGGGGTAAATGGGTTATGCATATAAAGTAGTGCATGAGGTGCATGTGTTCCGTGATTTGGAGAGAGGGAAGATTGTATACAAGAAGATGAGTTGGAAATCTTCCCAGAGTGAGGGGATGAGAGCTTGGATGGCTTTGTGGTGGTGGAGAAGTGGAGAAACAACAACTCTGGAAAATACAAGGAGAGTCAAAGTTAACCCAGGGCATTGGAAGGACACAGGCATCAGGGATTGATGAAGTGGACTTCCCAGGAGTTAAGAGTATCGCCTGCCTCTTGCAGTCTTCATTTGTCCAGCCTGGCCTGCTTACTTGTTCCTGAGCCACACAAATGTCCCTTACTGTGCAATGCCTAGCTGCTGAAATTGGATTATTCATCAAGCCCAGTTCAGATTCTATTCCTCTCTTGAAGCGTTTACTGATTACCCTAGTAGATGTGATGTTTCCTCCTGAACTCCTTAAGGAATTGCTTATTTGTACTATTTATTTGGCATCTATGATATCCTTCTTAGCATGGTAGTTATACTTTCATATAAACATGTCCTAGCTCTTAAGCTAGATTAGATAAAAAGCCCTAGAAGGCAGGTAAATTCTCTTGTACTGTTTCTCATTAAAACATCTTTTATTTTGTATTTTTGTTGATTGATTGAGAAGAGATCTAACTCTGTCACCCAGGCCAGAGTGCAGTGGTGCGATCATAGCCCACTGCAGCCTAGAACTCCTGGACTCAGGTGATTCTCCCACCTCAGCCTCAGAGTAGCTGGGACCACAGGCATGAGCCACCATGCCCCGTGAATTAAGAACATTTTTTGTAGAGATGGGGTCTTACAGGCCAGGCGCGGTGACTCACTCCTGTAATCCCAGCACTTTGGGAGGCCGAGGTGGGTGGATCACAAGGTCAGGCCTTCGAGATGGGGTCTTACTGTGTTGCCCAGACCTGTCTTGAACTCCTGGCTTCAAGCAATCCTGCCACCTTGGCCTCCCAAAATGTTGGGATTACAGGTGTGAGCCACTGTGCCCAGCTGAAATACTAGGAAATAATTCTTAGTACTTGCCAGAGTTGTCATTTCTCCTCCATTTCTCCACTACCACAAAAATTGCTATTCAGGAACCATAAGTGTCTATTGTGTATATAACATTTCAAAACATAACTTTCCAGAACTGTATCTTCTATTGTATAGTTTAAAATGCTGTTTGGTATCTGGGTGTGGTGGCTCACGCCTGTAATCCCAGCACTTTGGGAGGCCAAGGCAGGTGGATCACCTGAGGTCGGGCGTTCAAGGCCAGCCTGACCAACATGGAGAAACCCCGTGTCTACTAAAAATACAAAATTAGCTGGGGTGGTGGCGCGTGCCTGTAATCCCAGCTATCCAGAAGGCTGCGGCAGGAGGATTGCTTGAACTAGGGAGGCGGAGATTGTGGTGAGCTGAGATTGCACCATTGCACTCCAGCCTGGGCAAAAAGAGTGAAACTCCATCTCAAAAATAAAATAAAATGAAATAGAATAAAATAGAATATAAAATAGAATATAAAATAGAATAGAATAGAATAGAATACTGTTTGGGGCCGGGCATGGTGGCTCACGCCTGTAATCCCAGCATTTTGGGAGGCCGAGGCAGGTGGATCACCTGAGGTCAGGAGTTCAAGGCCAACCTGGCCAACGTGGTGAAACCCCGTCTCTACAAAAATACAAAAATTAGCTGGGCGTGATGGCGGGTGTCTGTAATCCCAGCTACTTGGGAGGCTGAGGTGGGAGAATCGCTTGAACCTGGGAGGGGGAAGTTACAGTAAGCCGAGATGGCACCATTGCACTCCAGCCTGGGTGACAGAGAGACTCTGTCTCAAAAAAAAAAAAAAAAAGCTGTTTGGGGTCAGGCAGTGGGCTTTAGTTGCCAGAACTCTCAGTTGAAGCAGACAGAATCCTGTGCTAGAGTAAGAAAAAGGTCTATCAGGCCGAGCTCAGTGGCTCACCTGTGTAATTCCAGCTCTTTGGGAGGCCGAGCTTGGCAGGTGGATCACCTGAGGTCAGGAGTTCAAGACCAACCTGGCCAACATGGTGAAACTCCGTCTCTACTAAAAATACAAAAATTAGCCAAGTGTGGTGGTGTCTGCCTGTAATCGCAGCTACTCGGGAGACTGAGGGAGGAGAATCGCTTGCATCAGGGAGGGAGAGGTTGCAGCGAGCCGAGATCGCACCACTGCACTCC